TTGATTTTCGAACCCTGGGGGTCGAACTCAACCTTGTGGCTAATCCCCTCTTGTTTTTGGTTTAAGTTTGAAAATTTTTCCTTTATGGTTGTTGGAGATTTGTTTTTGGTTATTAAGTTTATTTTTTTAATTACCATCCTTAAATACTTAAATTATTTTGAATGGATATTTGTTGTCACAACTTTTATGCATTTGACCGATTCAAAGTAATTTTTATTTCTAGGTATGACTAGTGGGAACGTTAGTTGTCTGGTAGACAGTGCAACCACGCACATTGTTTTGCGTGAAGGCATCTATTTCACTAACTTCGTACCTAAGAATGCACCTCTTACAACCCTTTTGGGCCCATCCAACCTGATCGAAGGATACGGTAAAGCACGTATAATTTTGTCCAATGGTACAATCTTGACCATTGAAGAGGCACTTTATTCTCCACGTTCAAGAAGAACGTTCTTGAATTTCAAGGACATTAGAGACAATAATTACCACGCTGAAACCTATGTAGAAAATGGAGTTGGATTTATGTGCATCACTTCTTACAAATATGACCAGAAGCGTATTCTAGAGAAGATGGAGCATATCTCGAATGGTCTGTACACTACAAGCATGCACCCTATAAAGAGCCATTATGTGGTTGGCTATACCTCAAGGACCGCTCACGAAATTACACTTGAACATGATCATTTGGGACAAGATTGTATGGGCATCCACTAACTCGAAGTTTAGGTTCGATTTAAGGAATCTCATGTCAAACTTGCTTCGTGGAAAAGCTTATCATTAAGTGTTCTTATGACAAGATTCATTTGAATCCTCCTATTTTTCTATGAAAGAATTAAGGGGACATTTGTGGACCAATTCACTTTTTATGCAGATCATTTAGATATTTTATGGTATTGGTTGACGCTTCCACATGCTGGTCACACGTGTGTTTGTTGTCCACATAGAACGTTGCATTCTTCAGACTGTTAGCTCAGGCTCAAGGGCTCACCATCCTGATTATCCAATCAAATTTATTCAATTGGATAATATTGAAGAATTCACATCTAAAACTTTTGATGATTATTGTATATCGATTGGGGTTGAAGTTGAACATTCAGTACCCCATGTTCACACCCAAAACGGCCTGGCAGAGGTATTCATTAAGCACTTAAAAATGATTGCTCGATCATTGGTCATACGTACCAAGCTCCCGAACGCTGCTTGGTGTCATGCAATGTTGCACGCAGTCATATTGGTTTGCCTGAGGCCTGTTGCAACCCAACATTATAGCATCATTTAGTTGGTTAACGAATACTAACCAGACATATCGCATCTACACATTTTTTGTTGTGTGGTCTATGTGCTGATTTCAAAGTCTTTATGTACAAAAAAATAGGGCCTCAGCGAAGGATGGGAATCTATGTCGAATATGATTCGCCTTCAATTATTCATTACTTAGAACCTTTGATAGGCGATCTTTTTATTGCTGGTTTCATAGATTGTCACTTCTATAAGACAGTCTTCCTGTTGTTAAGAGGAGATAAGAAAGTCACCGCTTCTGAAGAACAACATAAATTATCATGGACGACTCCCACTTTGTCTCATTTAGATACCCACACTACTCTATTTGAAACTGAAGTGCAGTGCATGTTAGATCTTCAGAGCATGCCAAATACTTTCACAGATCTAGCGCGAGTGACAAGATCACATATTCCAGTAGCAAATATGCTTGCAAAGATGGATGTACCAAATGTACTACGGACTTCCCTGCTGGAGGCTAGGGACGCCACTTTGGCCGATCAACATACATTAGCAGCAAGCCAATCCTCTTCCCCTACACAAAAGCATGGTAGACCACCTGGTTCAATGGATTCACACCCCCAGAAGAGGAAACCCACATCATAGGCTTTTGAGCCTACCGTGAATTTAACTGTTGCCTACTCATTCTATCCAACTCATGAAGAAATTCTGGATTACAGAAGCATCCTTGAAGAGACGAATCCGCCTCCCAGGAATGAGAGATTTCGGTCCATTATGCTAGCTTGGATGATGTTTGGTATATAAATGAGATGACCATCGACGATGCATTAGCATATGTGGTAGCTAATGAGATCATGCTGAGGGATGACATTGAACTCCGTTCCATTGATGATTGTCAACGTAAAACTGATTGGTTAAACTAGAAAGAAGCAATCCAATTGGAACTTGATTCGCTTGTGAAACATAAGGTGTTTAGACCCGTAGCTCCTACTTCTCCACATGTGAAGCCCGTTGGATACAAGTGGGTTTTCGTTCATAAGTGTAATGAGAAGAACAAAATTGTGTGTTTCAAAGCTCATCTTGGAGCACAAGGCTTTTCACAACGCCCCGGGATTGACTATGACAAAACTTATTCACCCATTATCGATGTGATATCTTTTCACTACCTTATCAGTTTGGTAGTTTCAGAAAAGCTGAGTATGCAGCTGATGCATGTAGTAACTGCGTATCTCTATGGGGATCATGATACGAAAATTTATATGAAAGTTCCCGAATGACTTACATTAACTAGTTCAATATTTCCAAACCCCAGAACATGCTCTCAATTCGACTGAGGCGTTCACTTTACGGTTTGAAGCAATCCATAACAATGTGGTATAGCCATCTGAGTGAGTATTTGACTAGTCAGGGATATGTGAACAACAAACTATGCCCTTGCGTATTAATTAAAAAGTCACATTCCGGTCTTGCGATTGTTGCAGTTTATGTTGACAACATGAACCTCATCAGAACTCTTGAAGAGCTCGAGAGAACTGCCACGGACCTGAAGTTGGAATTTGAGATGAAAAATTTGAGAAAGACTTGAAACTTTCTCGGTCTCGAGATAGAGCACCGTTTGGATGAAATCTTATTACATCAATCGAACTACACCCAGAAGGTGTTATGCCGCTTGAATGAGGATAAAGTGAAGTCTTCGAGTACTCCTATGGTCGTACAATTGCTAGATGTAAAACAACCTTCCATTTTAAGGAGGATAATGGAGAGATTTTGGAGACCGAAGTTCCTTATCTAAGTGCGATAGGCGCTTTACTGTACTTAGCTCAATGAACTAGACCCGACATCTCCTTCGCTGTTACTCTTTTGGCAAGATACAGTAATGCACCAACATGTAGACACTGGACTGGTGTTAAAGACATCTTCCGTTACCTTAAGGGTACTATGGATCTGGGCTTGTTCTATCCCTACGGTTCCTCAAGTGATGCCGCACCCCATTATCTCGAGTTGATTCTCACCTTCTTCGCTATGCCGACGCATGATACTTATCTGATCCACACAAGGCTTTCTCTAAAATAGGTTATGTCTTTAATGTTAGAGACACCGCAGTACCTTGGAGGTCAACTAAATAGACCTTAGTTGCCACTTTGTCTAACCATGCTGAAATTCTCACCTTACAACAAGCTACTCGGGAATGCTTTTGGCTGAGAGCAGTTGTGGGCCATATTCGAAGTTCCTGCAATCTTTACCATGTCGTTGACATCCCGATGATGATCTATAAAGATAACGCATGATGTATCGAACATCTCAAGAACAATTACATCAAAGGAGACAACACCAAGCACATTGCACCAAAGTTCTTATTCTCAAATCAACAGCGTGATCATCCGAAGATTGAAGTCACACACATCCATTTAGAAGACAATTTGGCCGACCTCTTCACCAAATCACTACCGAAGGCGACGTTTTAGAAGCTTGTTCAAGGAATAGTTATGCGTAAACTTTCTCAATTGTAACATTGTTAGTTCTCTTTGGAATTATGTCGAACTTAGGGGACTATCCTGAAGTATATTTGCTAAAGCTTAATGTAGTCTTTTTCCAAAGAATAGGAGCATTTTTCCCATTGGGGTTATGCTACCTAATGAGGTTTCGACGAGGCACCCACCTTGGGTTGATCATATCCCTGATGATGTATAGTAGATGTTTCATTTGACTTTGCATTACTCATGCCTTTTTCCTAAGACTATGGGTTTTATCCCTACTTAGGTTTTACCATAGCCATTGGTTTTTTTGTGAAACTTAGTTCCATATGCAAGTTCCTACTTTACTTTGAAACTAACGTGTTCCCATAATCAGTGCTGACGAGTCGACTTCCTCAACTCTAGGGGGAGTGTTACAAACATTGTATTTAAGTGTGATTGTGTAAATCATAGAGTAGATTTGATGCTAATTATTCATCTGCAATAAGACCTGTTTTCCTTTGAGGAGAAGGATTCTTCCCTCCCTTATTACTATAACACATCCTCTACACAACCCTACAAACACATATCTCTCTACTCTCTCTGCCATGCCCCCTCCTCCCCTGTCAGATTAAAATAAGCCACAACAGTTCTAGAATTGTAAATTGGGATGTAAATGTGATTTTCGTATCTCAAATTAGCATCTCTCCAATGTAAATGCTCTTGTGTCTCCTATTAGAGATGCTATTAGAAAATTATCTGAACTTAAAATTGCCTTCGAAAGGTTCTTGATCGAGTTAGTTATTAATGATGTATGACCACTTTGTTTGATTTGGAAAGAAAAAGATATGGGCAACTTTACGGAAACTATGGACACATTTACGGAAATTTTATATTTTCATATTCACGAAGTTTTCTTAGGCCTGTCATATTGTTTGGTTTAAGATGCATGAAAATAGATTAAACACCTAAGTTGATGCACGATATCACCCTACACCCCATCGGATATTGCAAGAAACATAACTTTTATTGAACACACTGATGCACAGAGGACATAACCACAGCTCATGCGAACTATGTTTATTTGTTTAATACACGTGATTCAGTGAAACTAAAATACTTTAAAAAACAGAGGAAAAAAAAACACGAAAAACTTGTGATGAAATTAATGCCACTTTCGTAGGGAACTAGATTACATTTAAGCACATGCAACAAGCCTTTTAAATCCATAGGAGACCTGTATGGGACGAATGAAGTCTCGTGAGGGTTTCCAGAGACGTTACCCATAAACATCACGTGGTAATTTGATCAACGATGCCCGACGGCTGTAAGGAGATCCTCTACTCCATTGCCGTCAGTGTTGGCATTCAATGCACATAGGACACCGTCTAAACCTTGCACATAGGTTGGCCTTATATACAGCTTGCTCTGCACATGGCGAAATCGGAAGACCACTTGTGTGGGGGCATTTGGTCCGATGTTCTCAGACTCGAACAAAGTGCAATTTTCATCGGTCGTGTTTTCGTTTGGTCCACTTTGATCAGGAGCCCTTACCAAGTATTTGCCGGTTGCATTGTGCTTGATATGCACGTATCCGGGTGTTTGTGCATTCTCCGTTGTGAACAATGGAGTCTGATCCTGTCCAGTGAATTGGAGAATCCCGGCAGCTCCGTAGCATAAGTAACGGTGGTTGCTGTTAGATTTCAATGCAAAAGGGTTTGGTAGGATTGCTACCATGTTAAATGGGATGATCACGCTCACTTCTCTCCTTTTATTTTTTTTTTGTCTTTTTCTCGTGTGATTTACTTGCTCCATAGGTTCTAACTTGCTACCCTATTTATAATAAGGATAAGCCTAGATCATCTTTCTCTATTTACATTATGTGTTCACAACTAATGGTTTCGTAAATAAGGTGTTTCTATTTTTTTATTTTTTTGGATCACGGAAGCGTAGTTACTTTTCTTAGGTCTTTAACTAATATTTCTCACTGTTTTTTCTTTCAGCATACTAATACAATTCTCAGTAGGTCTAAGTCCTTAATTAATACGGAAGAGTCCTATTGTTGTTAAAGATAACCGATTCAAAAATTAATTTTTGTGATTGCATCTGTACTTGGTAATAGGTTTTAGTGGCGATTGGTTTCCCTTTCTTAGAATAATTTATGTCCAAGTCAAAGTGGAAGAACCACATCAAATTAGGAAACAACTCTCACCTCGCCTAAGCAGCTAGATATTTCTGCACCTACTCCATTTTCAGCGCGCAGCCCAGCAAGTGTGGGGGATTTGTGGACCAAAAAATAATCTCAAAAATCCTGGATGCAACAAATGAACTTTTTCTTAAGAAATATAAGATTGCCCTCATTAAATGGCCAATCATACTCCCACGCGCAGCTCAGCATCCCTGGAAGTTCAAGCAACGAACTAAGTCTATTGAAAGCTCCCTGCTCTTGGCATTGAAAAATCAAAGGCATTAAAGACATGATTAAATAATAAATCTTATCTTTAATACCATCCCAATTGAAGACAACCATATCAAGTAAGGAATCGCTACCACAATCAATTAGGGACATTCTTACCATTATCTCAAGATATTATCTCCTAATTAATTTCTTGGGAGTACTATTTGCTTGCGCATCCTACAAATGACATATTTTGGCAAGTATAATGGCATCATGTGTAGGGTAAAACCCTAAGCTCATGCCCGGCCACCTCCTATAAATACCTCCATCTCTTCAAAATTTGGTAAACTTTTGCGATGCTACCACTCCTTGTATTACGTCAGATTAATTGAAGTAGGAATTGAGTTTTCATATGTACCTAAATCCATTGTTTCGAAATTTGCTTATTTTTTATTTAAAGATTTCATGTATAGGACATTATGTGTAAGATCCCACATCGCCCAGGGGAGTGATCCTTATATGTATATTCCCATCCCTACCTAGCACGAGGCCTTTTGAGAGCTCACCGGCTTCGGATTCCGTAAGAACTCTGAAGTTAAGCGAGAAGGGGGCTAGAGCAATCCCATGATAGGTGACCCACTGGGAAGTTCTCGTGTGAGTTCCTAGAAACAAAACCGTGAGGGCGTGGTCGGGGCCCAAAGCGGACAATATCGTGCTGCGGTGGTGGAACGGGCCCGGGAAGTGGTCCCCCCCGGGCCGGGATGTGACAATTTGGTATCAGAGCCTAACCCTGGCTGTGGTGTGCCAACGAGGACGTCAAGCCCCTGAGGGGGGTGGATTGTAAGATCCCACATCGCCCAGGGGAGTGATCCTTATATGTATATTCTCATCCCTACCTAGCACAAGGCCTTTTGGGAGCTCACTAGCTTCGGGTTCCGTAGGAACTCCGAAGTTAAGCGAGAAGGGGGCTAGAGCAATCCCATGATGGGTGACCCACTAGGAAGTTCTCATGTGAGTTTCTAGAAACAATACCGTGAGGGCGTGGTCGGGGCCCAAAGCGGACAATATCGTGCTACGGTGGTTGAACGGGCCCGGCAAGTGGTTCCCCCCGGGCCGGGATGTGACAATTTGGTATCAGAGCCTAACCATGGCTGTGGTGTGCCGACGAGGAAGTCAAGCCCCTGAGGGGGGTGGATTGTAAGATCCTACATCGCCTAGGGGAGTGGTCCTTATACGTATATTCTCATCCCTACCTAGCACGAGGCCTTTTGGGAGCTCACTAGCTTCGGGTTCCGTAGGAACTCCGAAGTTAAGCGAGAAGGGGGCTAGAGCAATCCCATGATGGGTGACCCACTGGGAAGTTCTCGTGTGAGAATCTAGAAACAAAACTGTGAGGGCGTGGTCGGGGCCCAAAGCGGACAATATTGTACTACGGTGGTGGAGCGGGCCCGGGAAGTGGTCCCCCCCCCCGGGTCGGGATGTTACACTATGGATTCATGTTTACGTAGGGTTACGTAGTTGTACGATTCAGATTACTAAATTATATTTTATGAGGTATGTATTTATTTGCGATTTTTCAGCAACTGAGTTGTTTAATTAGCTGAGGTCATTAAACAGACGCCATATTGATTTAATAGCTTATCACATTTCAGGGCTTTAACTAATGTGGGGACAATTCCTGCAGGTAATCGAAAGAAACAATGTGGATGGAAAATGAACACTTTTGATTTTTGTAGACGTGGAAGTCATGGATTGATCGTGCCCTATGTACATGAAGACACATTCAACCACTTAATCAATACACGAAGATACATTGAAGCGCTCAATCTGTCACTTGTTGATTGTGAGGATCTTTTCACAACAAGGGTATGTGAAACCAATACTTATCAGCTCCGCTTTGATTGCAGCTTGGTTTACCAGTGCTTAACTGCTTTTAAAATTGCATTCCTGTTTATGCATTTCGTATAATACGGATAAGCCTAGACCATCTTTCTCTATTCACATTATGTGTTCACACTAATGGTTTCGTAAATATGGTGATTTATTTTTTTTATTTTTTTTATTTTTTTTTGGATTATGGGTGTGTAGTCACTGTTCTTAGTCTTTAACTATTGTTTCTCACTGTTTTTTTTTTTTTTCAACAAAATAATACAATTCTTAGTTGTTCTAAGTCTTTAATTATTAGAGAAGAGTCCTATTGTTATTAAAGATAACTAATTAAAAAAATTATTTTTTGTGGTTGCATCTATAATTAGAAATAACCCTCTACTTATGGTAGACTTAAATAGGTTTTGATGGCAATTGGTTTCGTTTCCTAGAATAATTTATTTCCGAGTCAAACTGGAAGAATCACATCAAATTTGGAAATAACTCTTTCCTCACCTAAGCAGCTTAAGATTTCTACACCTACTCCATTTTCAATGCGCAGCCCAGCAAGTTTGGGAGATTTGTGGAGCCAAAAATAATCCCAAAAATCGTGGACGCAACACATTGACTTTTTTCTCCAAAAATACGATATTGCCCTCATTAAATGGGAGCACATACTCCCACTCATAGCTCAGCATCCCTAGAGGTTCAAGCAACGAACTACAAATGCTGAAAGCCCCCTGCTCTTGGCATTGAAAAATCAAAGGCTATAGATAACATATTATCTCCTAATAAATTTCTTGGGAATACTATTTGCTTGCGCATCCTATAGATAACATATTTTGGCTAGTATAATGGCGTCATGAGTAGGGTCAAACCCTAACCTCATGACAAGCCACCACCTATAAATACTTTTATCTCTCCAAAATTCGGTAAGCTTTTGCTATCTTATGATACCTCATATTACATCTTATTAATTCAAGTAGAAATTGAGTTTTCACATGTACCCGAATCCATTGTTTCGAAAATTAATTATTTTTTTTTTAAAGATTTCATGCATAGGACACTATGGATTCATGTTTTACATAGGGTTACGCAGTTGTATGATTCAGATTACTTATTTATATTTTATGAGGCATATATTTATTTGCGATGTTTTCAACAAGTGAGTTGTTTAATTAGCTGAAGTCATTGGTCTGACGTCATATTGATTTAATAGTTGATCTCTTTGCAGGGGGTTTTAACTAATGTGCAGACAACTCCTGCACGTAACCGAAAGAAACAATGTGGCTGGAAAATGAACTCTTTTGATTTTTCTAGACGTGGAAGTCATGGATTGATCGTGCGATATGTACACAAACACACATTCAACTGCTGAATCAGTACATGAAGACACATTCAAGCACTCAATCTGTCACTTGTCAATTGTGAGAATATGTCCACAACAAGGGTATGTGAAACCAATATTTGTCAACTCCGCTTTGATTGCAGCTTGGTTTACCAGTACTTAACTGCTATTAAAATTGCATTGCTGTTTATGCATTTCGTATAATACGGATAAGCCCAAAGCATCTTTCTCTATTCACATTATATTTTCACACTAATGGTTTCGTAAATAAGGTGCTTTTTATTTATTTTGTAGGATTATGGGACTGTAGTCACTGGTCTTAGTCTTTAACTAATATTTCTCACTGTTTTTTCTTTCAACAAAATAATACAATTCTCAGTAGTTCTAAGTCTTTAATTAACCAGGAGGATCTTGAGGATTCTCCAATCATATCCGTTCATCGTACATCATGCGGTCAGAAATCATTGCAATTTTTTATATTTAAAATTGAATATAAACAATACGTGCCAAAAACTGACCGCACGATGTACGATGAACGGATTGGAGGATCTCCGGGATCCTTACAAAGAGGATCCGGCAAGGATCTGCACTCTTTAATTAATATAGAACAGTCCTATTGTTATTAAAGATAATCAATTAAAAAATTATTTTTTGTGATTGCATCTCTAATTAGTAATAACACTCTACTTATGGTAGACTTAAATAGGTTTTGGTGGCAATAGGTTATGTTTCCTAGAATAATTTATTTCCGAGTCAAAGTGGAAGAACCACATCAAATTGGGAATCAACTCTCTCCTCACCTAAGTAGCTTGAGATTTCTACACCTGCACCATAGCCCAGCAAGTGTGGGGGATTTGTGAAGCAAAAAATAATCCCAAAAATCTTGGACGCAACACAAGGACTTTTTCTCAAGAAATACGAGATTGCCCCTATTAAATGGGAAGACATACTCCCACACACAGCTCAGCATCCTGGAAATTCAAGTAGCGAACTAAGACAGCTGAAAGCTCCCTGCTCTTGGCATAGAAAAATCAAAGGCATTAAAGACAAGATTAAATACTAAATCTTATCTTTAATACCAACCCAATCGAAAAAAAACCATATCAAATAAGTAATCTCTGTCAC